TTTTTTTTTTTTTTTTTTTTTTTTTTTTTTTTTTTGGACCGTTAACCATCATTTGACAGATTTTGAATACACTTCAGCCATACCCATCCTTTTTTATTCTCTCTCTTTCTCTTTACACTATTGCCAAATTTTCCAATCCCTCGTTCACCCCCTCACCAGCCCTCCTTTGGTGTTGAGCAGATGGCACACCAACATGTCATTTGCCATTTTCTTTAGGGTCACCTTTTCTCTTTTCACCCACAAGGGCATCACCTTTTCATGTGAGCTCTAGATCTGTGTAGCTGTTCCTGTCCCATCAGACAGATGCCTGCGAATCCAAATGACCCAACTTGAGTGATCACAATCTTGCACTCTCTCTGGTGTAATGCTTTCGGCTAACGAACAAGTGTAACTACTGCTGTGGGGGAGCTGTTGAGGTGGGATTGTTTCTCAGAATAATTAGCATGGCCGGTGTTAATTACATTTGTCCATTGAAGGTGGAAATTACTGTCGTAGACGTGAGTCTGTGAGTAATACACTGGGTGTTGGAGGACTGACTGATAGAGTTTATGCAATTATGATTGAATAATTGAATGTCTATGGAGGAGCCCGCGTGTCAGTCAAACCCGACACCTGCTGCTTTGTAGGGTAGTCTGTTTTATTAGTTGTTATCAAAGTCATAATTAATTTTAACCTAATTTAGTTTAAATGGAGAGGGTGTTTTGCCATGAACTGGTGCCAAAAACCAATGGTTTGTCAGTCTACTCTACAACATAACAGAAGGTGTTACATGACCTTTTCAATATCATTAACCCAGAGTCATTCCTAACAATAATATTTAACACTTGTAAACCCTGGATTATTGCTCTTATTTGCATATTTCTAAGGTTAAAACTTGGTTCGGTTGGTTTCTGTGATGTTGTGCTGGGTAGCTCTGCCACTGTGAAATCTCATTGGTTCAAAGTCCTTCTCGACATAACTGTATATTAAAATTAGATGTATTCTGATTATCACTGGGAACTTGCCTGGTTAGCACTTGGTTTAAGAAAGCCCATGTCAGTTTTATCCAATGGATTTCCATTGATAGTCTATTATGTAATTTAAATTAATACATTTTTATTAATTGTTATTAATGTCTAAATTAAAATGCATAAACATTCAATAAAACATAGTTTCTTATTGAAGAACATGCACTTATTAAATCTTCTGGAATCACAAAATGAATGGTAGTTAAATTTTAATATCAGTAGTCTTGGTTTTGGGCATATTTTAAAATATTTTATCTATTTATATATTTTACCTCATGATACTGTATTGACAGGCCAAGAATATTATTATATTTTTAGTTAAACTTTTCACATAACTGTTGATTATTTTATTTTTTACCACCCCTTCTATCCATGATTGGCATGAATTTGTAAATGAGGAAAAAAAATTGT